ATGGCAAAATATGGATAATCAAAGCTAATGTATTTATTAGAGGCCAGAAAGTGTAATAATGTGAGAATCATAAAAAAATCACATGAAAAAGTACCCAAGACTTTCAACCTCATCCAAAAGTATACGGAAAGAAAAAAAACCAAGGCACCCTCTTTTTGGAAGAAAATTAATCTCCCTCTAATTAATTTCCTACTTTAGTTTTCAATATGAATGAAGATTCTGAATATCAGGGTGAATATAACTAATCAAAAGGCAGAGAAAATGGAAGTTACAACACCCCCAGTAAAATCAAATTGCAAAGGCTGATAGGATCAGACAAATGTAGATGCAGAAATGGTGGTGTACAATCTTCACTCCAGAACTCTGAAATAACCAACGTGGTTGGGATATAACCAACTGCAAGTCAGACAGAAGAGATCTGTAAAAAAGCCATAGAATCAGGAATAGTTTATATGTAGAACAGCAAATGCAAATCTTATCCCTAAGAATATGAAGAGAAACACAGCATCAGCAAATATGAGCTTTAGAAATATGCAAAGCCGCTGAAAGCAAGCTGAAGGAGGAGAAAAAGGCTTGGAAACACGGATAAATAAAAAATGGGATAAATTAATCCAGGTTTTGGTTTAGTTTAAGGGGTTTTTTTGAGAAAGGTAGATTATTCTAGGATGGCAAATATTTCATTACCTGCCTTTGATTAGGCTGCTAATTTCCTAGACAAATGAAATAGTCTTCTATCAGCACTTCAGTCAAAATGTGATTGTGTGCCGTGCGGGAAAAATAGATAGGTAGGAGAAGGTGATTGGGAAAAAAGTTGTGGAGAGGGTAAGGCGTGGTTTAACAGGTTGTGTTCAGGGTCTGGAAAGAAATAACTAATGGGGTTCGTCAAAGATTCATCTTGGGGCCACTATTATTCAATAAATTAATTAGCAATTCCAACATAAAATGTAGGACCTTGCTGCTGACACAGAACCAGCAGGCAGCCAGTAGTGTGAAGGATCTGCATAACACATTGGAACAACTGGAACAACAGAGACAAAATATAATTGTGATGCATTCTTGACAAGGAGAATACAGTAACACCATGTATGAGAGGCTATATTTCCAACACAGATAGATTGGGCATTAATGATGTTCCACATGACTGCCAGCATCTAAATTTGGATGTTCACCCACTTTAAAAAAAAATATTCATTCCAATGGGAATAGACAAAAGAGAAGTTTTACTGGGTAACACAGGAAATGGAGTGCTATTGCCTGAGAGATTGCCTGGCTCACATAATTAATTAAATTTGAGAGGGAATGTGTACCTATACAATGTGAGAAGGAGGAATAGGAGCTCATTAAGATATAGCAGTGACTGTAAAAGGGCAAATGAGTATAAAATCAGATATCAAATACAGTAAATCTGAAAACTAGAGGTTAGAAAAAGATTTTCAAATGGCAGAGGAGTGAATTTTTGGAGCAGCTTCCTAATGTAGCATGAAACTCCCCCTAGTCCTAATTTAAAGATGGATTTGCAGAGTTTCCAAAACAAACCTACATTTCACTGTCTGCAGTTAAGGGAGATGGACTGAATGACACAGGCAGCTCTTTCCAGTCCAGTGTTCCCAGTATTTGGAAACAGAGTGAAGAGTCCAAGGTTGATGTCAATGTTTTCAAGTAACTCAGAGGAATGAGACTTGAGACTTGAATTGAGGTTGGTTTGGTGCTAACTAAAGATTTTACATGTTTGTGCTTACAAATTACTTTATAAAGAAATAAAAAAGTACTACTGACTTTGTGCACAAGCATTAGAGATCATGTGTTAATCAGATATTTTTCACTGTCTTGTAGCAGCCAAGAAAGTTTAGTAGGACCTTGAGCTCTTAGCTTAGTTTTTCTACAGCTGTGTCATCAATCCATTTCTGGAGAGATTATTTCCTGAAGCAGACAACAATTATTTCCTGAGATGAACCGACTATTTGTTATTGTGCCTTAAAATTAGACCAGAAAATTTTCCTGTCCCCATTTAAATGATGTTTGAAGATCGTGCTAACACGACAAAGCAAGGGAATGCAAAGCACAGGCCTCGCATTCTGTTCTTACCCAGCACTACAGTGACTTTTCTGGCGAGTAATGCAAATAATAATACTTATCACTTACTCTGCACAGTGCTTCAAAGCGCTTTACAAATATTTATTGCTAGTTAATCTGGAAAAAGTATGATTTAAGGCCAGCTTCTGGTAGCTTGTGTGACAAACTTAATGCCATTTGAATCGACTCCGTTTGTATTTAATAGGATAGAACTGCAGCACTTTAGTTTAAACGCTATTGTTCCATTAAAAGCCAATTACAGAAATTCAGCTTTCCCCGAACTCATAGAGGACAGCTTTTCATTTAGTAAAAAAAAAAAAAAAAAATAAAAAAATCTATTAAATGCTTCATCCGAATTTAGTGCTCATAATTCCGACCAAAGGCTTAAGAGCCTTTTCAGGCGCGGCACAAAGCGATTCGCCGCGAGGCGGTGCCGCAGTACCGCCTGCGGGCGGCAGAGGGAGCCAGAGACGCGTCCATCCGCCACGAGGCGCCGGGACCGCAAAAAAAATGCCACGGAAAAGTGTCACCTTTCCATGCTAAACACGCGCGTAGCGGCGTTCGGCTGATTTCCCGCGCAGGCAAATGCGAAAGGCAACTTTTCGGGTTTAAATTTTATGCGGGTAAATCTTGATGTCTTCAATGCTGATCGTTCTGTATCAAAAGTCAGATCAGATGGTGGCACAGCAGGTTGGAGATCGCTAAAATAAACTCGGGGCAAACCCAAGCACAGACACAAGGTGAGTGAAGAACGGGTTGAGAGCAGCTCCAAGGAAGAGGACTTGTGGGTGTTGGTTGATGCAAAGCTCAACATGACCCAGCAATACCTTTGCAGCCCAGAAACCCAACCATGTCCTGGGCTGTATCCAAAGCAGCGTGGGCAGCAGGCTGAGGGAGGTAAACCTGTGCCCCCTCCACGCTGGTGAGACCCCACCTGGAACACTGCATCCAGCTCTGTGTTTCCCAATATACAAAGGACATGGACCTGTTGGAGCAAGTCCAGAGGAGTACATGAAGATGCCCAGAGGGCTGGACCACCTAGTGTGTAGACAGGCTGAGAGCTGGAGCTGTTCAGTCTGGAGAAGAAAAGGCTCTGGGAAGATCTTCCAGGACCTAAGGGTGCTGCAAGAGAGGGAGAGGGTTTTGGGGTATGTAGTGATAGGAGCAGGCAGAATGGCCTTAAACCAAAAGAGGACAGGGTTAGAGATTAGGAAGTAATTCTTCCCTGTGAGGGTGGTGAGGCCCTGGCACAGGCTGCCCAGAGAAGCTGTGGCTGCCCCATCCCTGGAAGTGTCCAAGGCAAGGTTGGATGCGGATTAGAGCAACCTGGTCTAGTGGAAGTTGTCCATACCATTGCCACAGACTTGGAACGGGATGATCTTCCATATCCCTTCCAACCCAAACTATTCTACAAATCTCTGATTCCATGAAAAAGAACTTTTGAATACTGCTACAAGAAGTAACCACAGGAATCACATCATAATACGTTGTCTCAGTGACCATCACTGCTTCAGTTTTCTCCAAATCTTTGAACGTGCTGCAAACGAGCCCATTTTAGGGTTGTTTCCTGTATATGTAGTTTCCTTTGCTATAGAATAAGCATCTTTTCTGAACCCAAACGAGAGATAGTGATTTGTGGCTCCATCACATCCACACAATACATTTTGCAAGACACCTTGCAACAGAGCTAGGAAAGGAACCAGTGGGATATAACAACTAAACAACTGCAATTATTATCTGGTAAAATCATGGCTGCTATCAAGTGCAATGAGGGGGCTTGCAAAGCTGTTTCCATCGACAAGGATTTTAGCGGTTGAAAATACAAAAGTGGTCAAAAGGTAACCTGAACACAGACCTACTAAGAAGATGAGACTGAGAATTAAGAGGAAAGTAATCTGCAAATGACAGGCAGGGTTTGGAAACCAAAACCACTACCTGCCAGTGGCAGAGAGCTTGCATATCACATCACCTGTGAATTACTGATTAGCAAACACAGGCACTGCCAGGCTGGACACAGGTGTACCTGTTATGGGTCATGGTGGTACCGCTTCAGCCCTAGGCCGTGTGGGAGGCACGTGTGCCAAACAGGGGGTCACCCTCCAATGCAGCCTCCTGCATTCAAAACTTTATTTCCCCTTTCAAGGTCGCCACATTACAAGCTCAAAAGCACAGGGACAAGTGTTTCAGGCTTCTCAAGCCTACCTCAAATTGTGTCCAGACAGTGTTCATTAAATTACGTTATAAAATGAATCTAATCTCAGTGACTTTGGAGATGGGTCCTGCAGCCCTCTGGGCTCCCAGGAGGCTCATGTGCCATTAGCATGACCCCACTGCCTTGCACAGCTCGAGCCCTACACAAGGAGCCCCCTTGGACACGACCTTGTCCCTGTACCTGCTCGAGGGGATGCCATGCCCAGGTGACAGATGCGTGGTGTCCCCAGGACAGACTGAGTGTCCCAAGAGCAAACTGAGTGTACTCAGGGCAGACTGAGGGTTCCCAGGATGGGCTGCAGGACCCGGCCGTCTTGCAGCGTCTCCTTACAGCTGGGGAGAAGAAACACGTCGGGTTTCCCCACAAGGACAGTGGCTGCCCATCCATGTGTGGGTATCCGGGGGGGCAATCCACCCTAAAGAAAGGGACCTGTGACAGGAGTGTCCTATAAAACCGGGACTGGGGTCGTCGAGTCGGACTCTTCGCCCGTCTCCCTTTCCACACCAGCGGTCGGGCAGCCCGTGGTGGCTCCGGGAGGCGCATCCCGGCTCGGGCTGGGCGGCTGCGGGCGGAGGAGGGGCCGCCGCCTCTTTAAACTTGCCGGGAGGGCCGGGCTGCCCCGCCCGGGGCAGCGGGGGCTCCTCAGCGCCCGGCGGGGACGCGCCGCCCCCCGCCAAGGCTCTGCTCCGCTCCGTCCCGGGCGGGCGGTCCCCGGTGCCCGGCAGCGCCATGCGGGGCAGCGGGGCGGCGGGGCCCGGCCGCGGGCTGTGAGGGGACCCCGCTCTGCCCCCGGGGGGAGCCGGGCAGCGCCGCCACCTCCCGCCTCCCTCATCCCGCCTCCCTCATCCCGCCCGCCATGGCCGCCCGCGGAGCCGGGCGGCGCGGAGCCGAGAGGAGCGGCAGTGCCGGGGTCTGGCCGCTGCCTGGCAGCGCCCCGTGAGCGGGGACAGCGCCCCGTGAGCGGGGACAGCGCCCCAGGAGCGGGGACAGCGCCCCGTGAGCGGGGACAGCGGGCGGCGTGTCCCTGCGCCCGGTCCTGCCCCCCCGTCCTCCTCCCGGAGCGGGGATGAGCGAGACCCGCGCCAGGGGAGTCGCCGCCTAGACCGGCAGCCAGGATGGTGCCCCTGCAGCCCCTGCCCCTCGTCGTGGTCCAGGGCGTCCTCCAGCTCGTAAGTCTCCATCCCTGCGGCACCCGGGCTCTCCCGGGGGGGCTTCGGGGGCACCGGCGCCCTTCCACCGGGTAACGCGGTCCCCTCGGGCTGGCTCCGAGCAGCCCCCCCAAACCATCCTTCCTGCAGCCCGCGACCGATTCTTATTCTTTTTTTTTCCTTTTTCTTTTCTTTTTCTCTCTTTTTTTTTTTTTCTTTTAATTAAGCGAGCTTGCTTCTCGCCGGGCTGTTTTGGGATATGGGACGCTCGCGTGCCCGAGCCCAGCGCGGCCGCGGGGGCCGGGATGCGCCGGGAGCCGCCGGGTACCGCGGGCGGGGACGGGGGGATATGTGTGTGTGTGTGCCGAGCATCACCCGAACTGTCCGCTCCCGAAAAGTTTTCCGCTCGCCTCAAGCGCCTCTTTTCGTGTGCGAGATATAGCGGGTTGTGCAGGTAGAGCCACCTGCGCTTGGGAAGCTCCCTCCTTAGTCTCTGCTTGCTGCAGCGCAAGCCAGGTGTTTTTTAATTTTTATCAGAAACTGTTCGACCTGCCGGTGTTACGCCAAATATTCCTCTGCGTGTGGTGGGGGAATGCGGGGACTGACGTGGTGGCAAGGTGAGATGCAGACTGTGAAATTCAGGGCTCTGAAGGGAGGGAGGCAAAACGAGGTGCGCGGCTGGAGGCGGGCGAGGAGCTCAAGTTCTCCCACGCCAGCAGTGCCTCGTTCGTGGAGCACTGATGGTGGGAAACAAATGGATTAATGCTCCTGTTCAGGTGGCAGGAGAGGTTAAAAAGAGGAGAAAAGGTATTTGTAGAAGAGTTTGGCCATATTCACTTTAATTTCAAAATCCCATTTTAACTTGGGGTGAGTTTTGGTTTTACTGCCAAATACCTCCGCTGCAAAGTTATGCCTCTCTTCCCCAGCTGCCTTGGACCCGAAAGTTTGTCACCGTAGTCAATAGGGAGTGTGTAATAAACCTTGAAGGGATTAAACACCCTCCTTAAGAACTGGAGTCTAGTATTACAGCATGAGGTGATTGATTAGTTTTTGAGGAAGCTGATGTCAAATTCTAATCCGGTTCTGGATTGTGCTTGTCGTGTAATGTTTTTTGCTTCAGCACTTTATCATAGCAATGAAGTAGCGAGCTGCAGCCCTGCGATAAGGCACACATTTCTTTCACACTCCCATCCTTTTGGACAATAAAAGGCTGTTTACATTCTTCACGTTCCTGCAGCCCAGTTTCCAGCTAAACAACACGCAGGGGTGAGAGATGGGAAAGCAGAGCAGCAAATGGATTACAAAGTTGCTGAGCAGAAGGGAACTGAATAAAAACGCTCCTTCCTCATGCCTGCAACCTCTCTCACCCCTTCTCACACCTTCCTCTTTATTTTTTTTTTAAGATATCAAAAGGGATCGATTGAAACCTGAATCATCAGGGATCGGGTCTGTTACACAATGTTTTATGGATGATGTTGGGAAGTTTCTTGCTGTGGTTTTACATGCTGTAAGTGATGGCTGGCTAAAAGAAGCAAAGTTGCTGCCTTGAATCAAACAAAAATCATAAACAGTCACTGAAGGTTCCCAGGTGGATGTGGCACTCAGCTCACCCAGGAGGATTCATTTTTTTCTGCATTCTTTATATACAAACCAACAAGGTTTTGAACTCAATTAGTTATATAGCTTATATAAATTAGCTTAAATAGCAAATTAAAGCAAAATGAGAATGTGTGAGATTTTTGACGCGTCTTAGGCTTACCTTGTAATGCTAACCCACTGCTAAAAAGTTGTGTAAATACCTTTCGGCATGGTCTTACCAGAATATCTGGTTAACATCTGGTTAAAGTTTTTGCTTACTATAAATTAAAAATATTTGATGTTGGTGGTAATGCATTGAATACAAGTCTCTGCTATTCTTTGTTCTCTGGCCAGTATTTGTAGGGACTGGTGGCTTCCCGGAGTCTGATTAGGAGCTTTAGCAGGCAGGCATTGGTGTTACTGGTTCTTGACTTTTTCTTTCTATTTTTAACCAAAGATCAACATGGTTAATATTATTCAAGAGTAAAGGCTCAGCATTTCAGCCAAGAAATAAAAAAATCATTGGTTTCAGTGTTGCAGTACAGCAGCATTCTAGTAAGCCATAAATGCTATCACCAAACCCTTCCTGATGGGGCAATCTTAATTTTTTATAAAACATATAAGAGGTGTCAGGATGCGAAATATTTTGGCACTGTATTTCAGTGAAGATAGAAGTACCTTTTATTTAATAAAATGAATTTCGAGTAGTGCCTTGCCTTTCAAATACCAAAGTGTGCTGTCTGCTTACCTACTTCTTAAAGATGCATAAATTAGGATGAAATCCATGTGAAACTTCATAAATTTGAGGAGATTATGGCAGAAAGTCTCACTGAATTTCTGAAAGCAGTGTTAGATGATTTTTTTATATGCTGTTCTGTCAGAAGTTCATGTTTAGTACCTTTAATAGAGTGTAGACGTATTTTTGTAACATGTTCCTGGATTATTATTTTGATTAATAGTTGGTGTACCAGTATGCATGCAGCATAAGCACATATATATTTCCTCAAATATTTTGCATATTTGGGCATATGTAACAGTAAGGAAGCCTGCTGTAGAGTCAGGTTAAGGTGCTAACTTGCTCCTGTATAAATGTGTTGATTTTAAAAGTCAGGTTTACCTTATGTTGACAGTATGGAGCAAAACAACAATTTGCAATGCACAGCCAGTACTTGTCTGGGCTGCTATTGATAAGAAGATGAAGAATTGTTGTGTTGTGTTATCACTAATAGGTACTCTTGCTTTACCATTAATTTTCACTAAGCTTTTCCAATTGTCACGTAATTGCTGAATGCCCTGTTAGTTACCTCTTCACAAATAATAGAGTTCTACATGTTGAATATTGAAGAGAGTGAAGTATTAGGATAATATAGTTTATAGTATGCCTGATAGTTAGCTTTAAATACCTTAAAGGAAAGGGGGCTTCTCCTACTTGCCTGGGAATATTACTTGTCATTTTAAAGAAATCTTGTTGAAAAAAAAATAAAATGCTGTCAGTATCCCTTATTTCCTTTTCATGTTATTAGTTTGCACATTTAATGCGTCATGTTTCATAACGTTGTTTGAAATAGCTTAGATGGGGTCTTCAAAATGTGTGATATTTCCCTCTTTCCTTTAGGGAAGAAAAGAAATAAAAGCAGTATGCGGGTTTTGAATCGAGAAGCAGAGTTAGTTACTACTTTGTCTTGGTGAGGTAGTTACAGACAGGCACTCAGGCAGGACCTGTGGTTCTGTAGGGTCATCAGGCACCATAACTATTTGCACAGTCTTGCATCTTTGAGGTCTGAAATTAAGGAAGGATCACAGCAGCATTTTCCAGTGCCTACAGTTCAAGTTGCACCAGCATTTCTATCAAGAAACTCCCTTCTAACATTATCATTGGGCAGAGTTGTTGCTGTGTTAGAAATCCAGAAATCAATCATTTTACAAAGCCTTAAAAGCAGTTGATTTTCCCCCCCCCCCAGTAGTGTTTGCACAGATAAGAAATAATTGGGAAAAAATGACCAAGGGTGTTATTTTAAGACTTTTCTCCACCAATTTGAGAGTACAGTGTTTGATATGAGGGAAATTCAATGATAGATTGTTTGTCTTGGAATTTCAAGGGCTGAAATTATCTAACAAACTGGTTTTTGTTAAAGTTAATGAAACAAAATTTGTACAGAAGTTTTTTTTTAACAGAATTTAAGGTTCTTAATAACTTTAAGCTGAGAAGAATATTTGCTAGAGTAGAAGACATAGCTTCATAAGAAGAAATTACTTGAAAACTGAGATAACACTGCCTTTCCATTTAAAATATGTATACCCTGTAAGGCGTAGAAATACAGAGGTATGTTCCTCCTGGCTACTTTAATTTTGTCTTCTAGCCCTGCAAACGTATTCCAGGTAATGTGCCCTTGCAGTGAGAATCAGAAATAGGCACCATGCAAAACTCTCAACTCCATTTCAGAAAGGTAAATGCTTCCCTCTGGTCATCTTGAAGCACACGGCTGAAATTCCATCCCCTTTAATTTCAGGGGGAAATTTGTCATGAAATATATTGGGCCCAACCTTTCATTTGGTTTATTTTGTTATTTTTCTCGATGCTGTGGGCATTCTAAGCCTATGTTTCATTCTTGTGTATTAAAGTAATGTGAGTAACTCAAGGAATTCAGGCAGTTTGCAGTTGAAGACAGATCAACAAATGCTGGTTTCAGAAGTTTGAGAATTTATTACCCTGAATGAGAAGTTGTGTCTTGAGGTGGAGGGGGCCAGGTTTAGTTTACATAGGAGGTTCACAACTCAATCTGTCCTCACATCATGTCTTTTGACCTAGTTCTGTGGAATTGGTGGCTGATGTTTTTCAGTTTGACTGAAAATTGCAGGTTGACTGGGGCACAGAATGGTTAAGGATCCTACTTAAAATCTGTACAGAAAGTCTGTTTGATGACCAGTAGACCACAAGACACTCCGGGCTTCCCTAGCACAGGGCAAGTAAAATCCAAGTCTCAGTCTTTCCATGTGTAACATGCAAGGAGTTTTTCTGCCATTGTAAAGCACTTTGAGAGATGTCAGAGATGTGCTGTAAGTGTAACCGACAGGGAAGTGAAATGGAAAGATCAGTGGAGCCCAACTGCTAAACTGGCATGCACTGATCACTCCCACCTTCCTGGTTTTCCTCCTGCACCTTGGTTTCTGCAAGAAAGGAACTCAGACATGGGAGTCAAAAAGGAGCAGCAGAAACCCCTCACTAGAGGGACATTCAGGGCATCAGAAAGACACAGCTCCTCTCTAGTTGCACCAATCTCCTGTACTGTTGAAAATTTTACCTTTAATCAGCACTTTATAAGCCAAAGTGTATGAGAAGAAGCAAGAGCTGCTCAGCGTGATGTGGGGAATGAGCACTGGGGTGTCAGCAATGCATGGTCTGTGGGTGAGGTGTTAACCCGTATCTGGCCCAAGTGTTTAAG